TATTTTGGTTTTTGTTTAAATATTTTCCAGTTGATTGTTTTGACATATATTGTCAATGTTATATTTTTAATGTAATTAATATTCATGAATTGTACCTGACTTTATACATATATTTATTTTTGTCTAGTCATATTTTTTATAATAAGTAGATTGATTTAAAACTGTATATATAAAAAGGGTGAAAATAGGCCTCCTGGGGAATCGAACACCCAAAACAGATCGGTAGCGCGCATACATTGCAACCTCAGAGGTGGTGAGGAAGAGCAATAAATATCCAATATACTTTTGTTTCAAAAATATTCTTGAAATTTTTCATTAATGTTTTCCGTTAGAAATACTTTTTCACAAAAAAGTTGATCTATTCCATTTCTTTCAATTACATCTCTCTGCCTAAAAAAGGCAGATTTTGATCAGGTGATCTCAGCTGTGAAAAATTCTTGGAAAACAGCTGATTCTTTTGTTACTTGTAGGGTTATACAATGAGTTGGGTATTACAGCAGAGTGCTCTGGAAACCAGAGAAAAACTACCGTGTGACGCGAAAAGAACTACTGGCTGTGGTGGAATGTGTAAAACATTTCCACAAGTTTTGTATGGGCAACGATTCTTGCTGAGGACTGATCATACAGCATTAAAATGGTTATTACAGTTTAAGAATCCGGAAGGCCAAATTGCACGATGAAGATTAMACAATTACGACTTCGAAACAGAACACCGAAAGGGGATTTACCACAAAAATGCGGATGTATTATCACGTCGCCCTTGTCCACTGGAATGTAAAAATTGCTCCAAATCAGAAGGAAATGAAGGTATAATCGACGTGCGATTACTGAATATAGAACCTGAAGATGATTGGACTAGTCACCGCATCAGAATCAATCAGCTGGAGGACCCTGATCTTGCAAAGCTGATAATAGCCAAAGAAAATGGGGTACGACCACCAAAGGAATAAATAAGTAGCGAGAGTCCTACTGCAAAAGAATATACGCCCAATGGAAGAGCCTCGTTAATGGATACCTTCATCGTACTTGGGAAAGCGAAGATGGCAAACAATCTCGTCTGCTGATCATAGTACCGAAGTCCATGATCCCGAAAGTATTGGAAGAATATCACAATGGACCTAGTGGAGGGTTCCTTGGAATTACAAAAACTTTAGAGAAGATTAAACAACGGTTATACTGGATTGGTTGTCGAGATTCATTAGCAGAATGGACAAGTAATTGTGTAAAGTGCATGGCAGCTAAAGGTCCTAAAATCAAAATTCGCAGTAGGCTGCAACAGTACAACGTGGGATCACCATTTGGAGGAGTCGCAATGGATGTTGCAGGTCCGTTCCCAACCAGTACGTCCGGAAACAATTATCTACTGGTTGTCACAGACGGAAAAAATGCATGAACTGCATCTAATGGTAAGGCAGCACACGCATCTAATGTGCAATAAGATGAAGAACCGATTTGATCAAGCGGCAAATTCAAAAGGTTTTGAAGAAGATGATCTGGTCCTGTTGTACAATCCACTTCGAAAGAAAGGCTTGTCCCAGAAATTGCAAACAGCCTGGGAAGGGCCCTATATGGTGATGAAACGACTTAATGACGTGGTAAGCCGCATACAAAGAAATGGAAAATCACGATGTAAAATGAAAGTAGTACATTTGGAGAGGCTCGCCTCATTTGGTTCAAGAATATTTGTGCCTAATCGGGACGATTAGGCTTAAGTGGAGGGCAGTGTTACAAAAGTAGTATTAAGTTTGGTACCACTTGTATTTGTATTGCTATATGCATCCCTTATTATAAACATTGGGCACCGCGGTTTACCATTTGTTTACTTATAACATGAATAATAGCTGCATGTATATGGAATGTATAGCATTATTATATGTGTTTGTCTTGCTATATGCATTCCTTATTATAAACATTGGGCGACACGTTGGCTGTTTGTCTACTTGTAGCATAAACATTAACTGTATATGCAACGTATATCATTATGTTCTTATAATTCCCAGACGCAATGTTCTAGAGGTACACGTCGGCATCAGCGAGGAGTGCGTGGCTATATAAGCCGTGGTAGCGCCAACGTAAGGGAGGAGTGCTAAGAGTAAACTGCTAAGTGTAGACGAATTCTGAAATAAAGAGATTTTGTTAAAGTGAATTCAAAATTGACATGTAAACATAATTACGATATGACYATAATTTTGTATGAATGCATGCATAATAATATTTATAGTCAATTTGCACTTGCATATTTAATAATTTTGTTTGTTTTTTAAATAATATACTATACTAATAAATATTTGTGTATTATGTTTCTTACTAATAGTAATTGTATTTATCACAACAATATATAAATATGTATATCTCTATCATATTAATCATATTATCTGCCCATATAACTGCATGTGCTTTTTCAGAAATTCAAATCACGATTTTATCACTTATCAATATATAATATTACATGTGCCCGCATTAATCTTAATCGCATTAATGTTCATATATTATATTCATATATATTATATGTACATATATACTTGTACTTTCGAACGGATAATGCACAAGCATACAAACATACATATGCGTACACAAGTCAATATGGCAGCCAAATTGGCGAAGAACAAATATAGTAAATTTTACAACAAAAACGATTTCCTTCATGAACGCAGCCGCATATTCCACAAGCGACCTCGCTTAATTCATAAAAACAGACGCCATAATATCTCCCCGAGCATGCCTTTGCTAACAAGTGTCTTTTCGCGACGATGACAAAAGCTAAAAATCATAAATTGAACATTTTTCAGGTGTTCTCTCACGCAAAATCAAAAGCAAAGACATGTCAACCAGTACATGCGAAATTTAATAGACAAAATAGCGCAACTGCAAAAACAAGCAACAAAAGAAGCTGGAGAGAGGCATCTCTCCCGATTACCCAGCCGAAAAGAGGCCGCGCAAAGAGCTCTGGAGAACCAATAGCAGAGGAGCAGGCTCAACAACAAACGAAACGAACATGTTTCAATTCGCCAAAAACCCGGGCGAGAACAAATCTGATTCTTCAGTTTAAACAATCAATTATAATGAAGGACAGTGTCAATACAAACAATTTAGAAGGCACTAAAAAGTCGCTACCAGCAACTCCGAACTATATCAATTGACGCTGTTGTGGTATGGAAGAGACGTATACCGCAGCAAAGAGAGAGGAGAGAATAAAGAGCATCGCAATGTGGTAGAAACGGTGTCAAAATTCATACAAAGGACAGTGGATTGACAGTCTGATGGATAGATAGATACCATGAGGACCTGGATTTCTACCAGTGGCCATATGTGTTTTATAAACTTCTTCTTCTTTTTTTCAAAGATATGTGAAAAACGCGAAAAATTCAAAAAGGAAGTACTTCAAGTCAAAGTTTACGTGCCCGTGACGATATTAAAAACTCAAAAGGCCAAAGAAGTCATTTTTGGGATTAAAAAAAGAAATTTTTCCAAAATTTCAACTAATTTGAGTGATAGCATAATACGAATAAATTGTAGATCACACAAAATCATCAAATAAAAACAAGATATTCACGAGAGAAAAAATCGTTTGACATTATTGATTAAACATTTTTTTCGTTAAAGAAAATGCTTTCCGAAGTAGTACAACAACAATTAATCCGAATTGTCCGCAGTAAAAATATTTCACCTTTTTACAAGCTGTGGATCTCGATAATAGTTTTGGTTGTAGATTACGTCACTCTCTCCAATCCGATCCCAATTCGTCTGGCATGCTTGTTCTTTTTTATACGCATTGTATGTTAGTAAACACGAAGTTATAGAAGGATTCCGTTGTAGCGGACTATCCCAGGCATCTTCGTCGTCGTAAGTGATTAAAGTATTTGAGAAATTTTGTCTAGATATTGAATTAGCTGCATTAACCATATATTGGGTATCATAGAAAGGAATTTGATCTAAGCGGAATGGTAGCTTTTTTGTCGGTATAGGCAGTGGCCCAAGTTGAGAAGAGTTCACTTCGCGCGTGTTTATCCGATCAAATGGTACGTTACGTGTACATTTATTTATTCCAGCGAAAAATCTTTGATTATAAATGTGTACCTGAAAGTAAATAATTTCCTGTTTAGAAATTTCTTTAAATGTATTTCTTAAAAAGAAAATAAAAATTCAGGGTAGGGGAAAAAAAGTAGGGATCAAAGTTGAAGATATATGAAATTAAATTAAAGTTACTCTACCATATTTAAATTTGTCATGTTCCGTTTAATTTCTTCTTGTTGTTCGAAGTTCACGCAAGTGAGGAAAGTTCTCTGATCGCTATTCATTTGGGAGTGGCTAGAAACGATTMTTTTACATATAACTCAAGCAGCTCACGACTTCCGGTCTTTGACCAAGTATCTGGGTAGCCTAAGAACATCCGTTTGAAGGCGAGCTAACATGAGAAGTCGAAACATCCCCTACATAGGGTTGTGCGCTAGGTTTGGGACCCGCCATATAAAAAAAAAACACCCCCAATGAAAAAATTAYAACAGCCTCGGATGAGAGACCCCCCTTTGATGACGACCATGGAAAACGAAATAAGGACTACGAATTGAGGGCATGCACCTGGAATGTCCGGTCCC